TTTTTTAATAGATGCAATGAATTAGGTTTTGAATCTAGAGGATTAAGAATTGGGGGCAGGTAGGAAAGTGGAGGTAAGTCTATAATTAGATCAGCCATGATCTTATTGAATGGCAGATCAGGCTTAATGGGCTGAATGGCCTGCTCTTGCTCCTTTTCCTTTTAGTCATCAGTATCAATTAAATTAAGATCATAAGATTAAGTTACAGTAGCTGAAAAATCCTGGCATGAGTTAGCTGTTGTATATTTCCTACTTAGTTGCTTTTATCTAAAATTAACTTCAACCTTCATTTTTGTGTTAAATCTTTATATGGCTGGTGTCACTGTTTATTTGCAGTTTGCCTGTAAAGTCATTAAGTGATTTGATGAATTAACATGATAATCCATTCTCATCTAACTGAATGGATATTGTTTCAGTGGCCAAAAAAGTCGAGTTTCATACAGCCAGCCTTTTAAAGGCTGTCTTTTTTTTGATTGGCAAGGGGCCAGTTTGTCAAATTCCTGCAGGCACAGACCAGTCTTTTGCACTGATGACTTCACATCAATGCTGGAACCATCTTAGCAGTTGCCTGGGTTGACTAAACTTGAGATAAGTTCCTTTCTCAAGGGGATTTACTCATGTTGAAATGTTTGTAGAACTAAGATTTAAAAACAGGACTGCAGGGGCCTCGGGTGATTAGTACAATGATGTTAAAAAGGTTGATCATGTTACATATATACTATAATCAAATTTGAGGCTAACATGGCTTTGTTTGCATGATGTAGTTGGGATGGTGACAAAACCAGCAAATGAACAGTCCCAGGACTTCTCAATCCATAATGAAGATTTCCCTGCACTTCCTGGTTCCAACTATAAGGATCCAACTTCAAGTAATGATGACAGCAAATCTGTAAGTATTAATGAAGAGTATTAACATTAATGATTTGTTTAGAAATTGGAAAACAATATCCTGTTTAATAATACCATTTGAACTTAAAGCTACAAAGAAAGACATTAATAAAACTGTATTCACTTTTTTAAAAAATGTTTAATTATAAGAATGAATTCTTAATGAACAGATTATCTGTTTTCTAAGGCCTTCTGTCATATTCATAGAAGACTACTTTTTTCCAGTACTGTACAGGATTTCCAGTTAAGTTTTTCTTCTGGAGAAAGAACAAATAAATGGTTAGGAGAGCAGACAAGAGGAGGCAATAAGTACCTAAGAAAATTTTACTGTTGCAGTCACTCGTGAATTATGCCAACCACACAAATGAACCACAAGTATATAGAGCTTACACCGCACATTTAGCCCTCCTGGTATGTGACAGCATGTATGATCCAAGCGAACTTCCCTCTGGCTTTGATACAGTCAGATGAAGTAATGTAAACTTCTTATTCCTTTTTCTATTGTGTATTTGTCCACCTTCCCCTTTGTATTTTGGATTCATATAGCTGGGGAAGCAGATAAAGCTCAATGTTGAAATGAACAATCCATTCCATGGTTCCATTTAATACACAATACCTGAATGGTTGTGGTGCTGCCAGAAGTAGAGTTCTCAGGGCAGAAGTTCATTACATGAGGAATGGTTAGACTTGAATGACCACTGTTATGATTTAAACTATTCCTCGTTTCATTTATGGAGTAAGTCAGAAGGCACGGAAACCCTGCAGAACAACCACAAAAGTGGCCCAAAGTCAAAATTGAAACTATAACTTTGCAAATGTTGATAACGTCCAAGATACCAGCCAGCTGGAAAGATAACCAGACAGTAAAAGTCAGCCCTAGTCTTTCAAAACTATACCAGAACAGAAATGTCAAGCCATCACAAATAACTGAAAGTGGACTGCAAACTCAAACAAAGAGGCAGGAGTCAACGTTAGTGATTCAGAATTCCTGAAAAAGTCAGCTCATAGAGAAAGAAATGCCAGCAAAGCTGTTTAAAGCTCACATTTACCTACCACACCATGGATGTTATTCTAATTGTCGAATGTCAACTTAAGATAGTCGCCATTTTCAGGCTGGAAAAGCCACTCATCAAGCCACGCAACTACCATCTGGCTCGCAAAGACAATAAAGTCCTGGAAGACCTTGTGCTAAACATCCTGAGTCCAATCTTGGAAGCAGTGATGCCTCCCTCCTGTAACAGGGAGACTTTATCACAGACCACAACTTACTCCAAACAGCCCTGATGCTGATTTTTGGATACTGAGGTCAATTTCCAGAAAGGCTTGAGGACAGAAGGTTTTGTTGACCTGTCCTGGTACACTGGCTGTTGCTGAAACTCCCAAACAATCTGCTCTGAAAATCCTTTAATGAATCAACTTCATGATCAGCAACCGATATTCCTATGCCTCATAGAGATCAAATCATACATGGCCCAAACAGGCTCTCAGAGTTCAGTCCTCTCATCAGCTGTCTTCAAAATATGCAATCACCTCCATCCCACAATGTAATGGCTCTTTGCGCATGCTGACAACTGGCTTTCCTGTCTAAAGAACTTCAAGGCGTAGAACTTCAGTGAGTAGTTTTTCGATTTTTCTCTGGAAGGCTACTTCAAAAACTGAAGATTTCAATCAGACACTTTTGAGACTATTAGTTCAGTCTTGCACTTGTAAAGTTTGAAGGCCAACGAAAATCTTAATGTTTGGTTCCATGGTCAGCCATGACCTAACAACATGTTGACATTATTCTTGACTGTACATTGACTTACCAACATCACCCCTAGTACATTTGAAGAAGATCCAATTGAGGGAATCCCAAATAGAAATTCATAGGTACCACTAGGCCAGCAGAGCTTCATTCATCCTCATCTACCCAACAGCGTACTCTCCTCAGCCCGGCTCAGGAGCTGCAAAACAAAATTTTGCGAGATCAGTCTCTAAGAAGTTAGGAGCATTATTTCTGGAATTTTGAGATCAATGCAACAGGAGTGTCTTCCTGTGCACCCATGTGTGAAAACACCCTCCTCAAAGAACACTGCCAGCAACAACGAACAAAGCACTCCTCTTGACACAAGACCTTAAAAATTAAAGCTCCACACCTTTGTCTGAAATCCCATTGCCCCTTCTGGAATGTAGTTTACACTCTACAAATTAACACTGGCCCCACCTCTGAATGGCTCCTAGTTAACTGCAAATGTTATCAAACACAACCTCTTAATGAATTCACAACATTATTAGAGGGGAAAAGCAACATTTATATACTGTATGAGAGGAGAGTGGTAGAGGCATTGCCATGGAGAATGCAGCAGTTATCGATTATCAGTATAAACGTTGATTATCCCCTTTTATTGGAATTCTTTTAAATTGTCCTGATGAGTGTGGGATGAGAACTTTTGACAAAATTTCTCTTTTTCAGCAATTCTCAACTTCTTGTTATCTAGCAACTATTGATCTAATATTTATGGCCCTAGTTTTAAACTTCTGTAGGGGAGTGGAATTATTACATCTAACCTATTGACTGTGTAGGAGAATAAACAAGTGAGAGTA